CTATTGCTATGCATTTACTGTACTCCCCGGGACGCAATTGCCTGACAGCTCCATCCCGGTGAGATGAAAAATCTCTACACAATATTGCTAAGACGGGCCTAGGGCTGTGGCTGGCTGCGAATTAGCTGCTCTTGTAGTTTCCTCCTTTTTGCTCAGTCCCTTTGTTTTGTGCAACCATGTTCCGAAATCCTTGGATCGCCAGCTATTTGAAGAATGTCAGATACTCTGAAGAGCAAGGTAAGAGTCCTGAGTGCAGAGCGATTAAATTGCAATGTATTGTAGTCTGCAGTCTTGATATCCTTCCACCCACCCACCCCCTGCCTCAAAAATATTTGCCACTTCAGTAAGCGATGTTCAGTTTGGTATCAAGTATTATTGTTTCTCCAAAGGACACTCTGGGGGGTGAAAGATCCGATTAGATGAATCTCCTAATTAGCTTAGCTTGCTGATGAATTAAGGCCTTGGAGATATATTGAGTAACAATTAATTGTAATATCTCTTGGAGTTTTTTAATGGCTAGTTTATAGCATGTATCTGTTAAGTAGGGTCTTGCTTTTGCGGGGGAGGTAATATAGTGAACATGAACTTGGAAGCAAGTATGTAATCGTATTTTTTTTATATAAAAACACATCTGCTAAGAAATCTGTGAAGGAATACTACTGCGTTCCTGGTGAGTTTGCTGAATACCATTGTAAATCTGTGACTAGTTAGAGGAATCAACTAGTGATATTTTTTGCACAAATACCAATTTGGAGAGAGTACTGAGTGTGCTTTTTAGCTTAAAAACCAGAATAGCCGTCCCAGCCCTCTTGAGAGAACCCGGGAAACAAAACTGTTTTAAACTTTGTTCTACATCTCCATGTAATTTAATGCTGAATGCATTATACGTAAGCAATAGCTTTGTTTTTCCTCTTCAGAATTTTAACACATGCTGTCAAGAACATGTATAGTCAGTATGGGAACTATTGAGGTGGAATATTACAGCAAATTAAAGAATTGGAATTCGATATATAAAATGCACTCCAAACTGGTTCCCAGTATTTAAGGCGCTAGTGGGTTTTGTATGCATTAAAATGTAGTATGATACTTCAACGGTAATGAAGAGACAAGTAATAATATCACATGGGGACTGTTCCTCTTTGATTTGAGACCCAAACGCCTTCACATCTCTCCAGTGACACAAGAGCACCTCTTGCTTTGTTTAGGTCCAGAGTAAAGAATTTCTCTGTGGCCTACTTGAGGTTTTCATGGTGGGGAGAAGTTTCCATGCCAAAAGCATGCATTGGGTTATACACCATTTAGAACTACTATAAATTTTTACACATGCCTGATTTCACTTTAACCAAACTCATACACTGTTAAGAGAATTATTAACAGCTGCTCTGTCCAATAATCTTAAGTCATTTTTTGGTTGTTGTTGTTATGGTACTGAGTTTCAAACAGAGTATAATACTGATAAATCATTTAGAAGACATAGCTTGGATACTTGATTTTTTTAAATTAAAGCTGCCTCTTCTAGGTTGTACTTTATTTTCCATTGACCTGAGGGGAAAGCTGGATAGCATTATACTAAAGAAATGGGGAAAACAGTGAAGCCAATTGATAGAATTATGCTTACTTGCTGACAAGATTTCTAAAACACTGATTGTTACTTACTGTCGGTTCCAGTTAACTTGAAACAGTACTTGATGGATTACACATCTTTTCAAACCTTGCTATAAATCCTGGTCTGTATTCTCCCACTCCATCAAGCAAAGTTTGAAGCTTTCCTCTACCCTAATGAGCCTTCTTCCAACTTAAGTAGCTCTTCCTCCAACACGAGAGCTGCTTAAATTGGAACAAGGCCGCAGGAGCTTCCTCCAGCCTAAAGTAGTACACCGCCCACCAGGCCCGTATAGGGTTGCCAAGTCCATTTTCTTCTGCAGCGGGGCCCTTATAGGGTCTTCAGCGCGCGCGCTGCATGCACATCAGCAGGATGTGACGTGATGATGCCGGGCACGCTGGGGGCGGGGCCACAGCCATTTGAGGGGAAAACTCCCCTCAAATGGCTGAAGCGGGGGGAAATCCGCCCCCCCCCCGGGGGACTTGGCAGCCCTAGGCCCGTAGCCAGGAAAGTTCCTGGCGGGGGAATTTGGGATTGGGGGGCGTTGTGCCATCAGACATGGTGACATCACTAGTGACATCACCACGTCTGAGTCTTCTCCAAGGAGAGCCAAAGAGGAGGTAGCCAGGCGCTCACTGCCCTGCCACTTGACTGCCTCCTTAGCTCTCCAAGCAGGCAGCCAGCAAGTTGGTTCTCCGAGAGCTCTCCAAGACCCCTCAGAGAGCTGACCCACTGGCTGGCACAGATGCAGTGAGGCGCAGGGGTGGGTCTCTCAGAGAGCTGACTTGCTGTCTGGTGCTGGGGCTCCCTGGGGGATGGCTAGCTGGTGCTGGGGCTCCCCCCATTTGATAGGAGGCTGAGCCCCTAAAGCCCCACTGCTGACTACAGCTCTGCTGCCCACTGTTTTGGTGGGGGAAAAGAAACCAAGACATTTCTGCATGTGGGTTCAAAAAAAATGAAAAATTACTCTTTTATTTGACTAATAATGTTAATAATGAATAATCGTGTGCCATCTTGTCTCAACCAACTCATGGCGACACCAGGAACATGAGGTTTGCAGGCCAAAGATGAGCAGAGGTGGTTTGCCATCGCCTTCCTCTGCATAGCAACCGCAGTCTTATTTGGTGGTCTCCCTTCCGGATATTAACTGTGGTCAGTCCTATTTAGTTTCAAAACTGAAGTGATGAGGTTAGGCTGGGTTATTGGGCTGCTAATGATGTTGATATTTATTTAGTAATTTGTAATTATATGTTCTAGACCCTATTTTCATGGGGAAACCATCTGACCATATCTAAGGCACCTACTGGGGGCAGTGGATGTGAAGTGCAATTCTTCTGGCTTCATTTATGGATCCTAAGTGGCTATTGCTGGAAAGACTATATCATTTTTTCATTGCTTTTTCTCTTTGTCTTAGTCGAACTGTTTTATTGGCTACTTAACTTTAAGTATCCCTGCATTTGGGGGACTTTGTTGGGGATCAGATGCACTCTTTCAGTACATTTGTGAAAGTTCTGTAGATCCCAGCTGGTCTACGAGGCATACAAAGGCCATGCTGGTGAATGCTTCCTTCTGTTCTAGCTTGGGGCCACTGATACTTCAAGGGCAGATTTGTGGGAGGTCTGACAGTGTTGTACTGGTGTTTTCCTCAGCAAGCGGGTAAAATATGGATGACACGCCCCATCTTTTAAAAAGCAGAACAAAAACATGTCTGCTTGAGAGCTCTGGGACAGAGGTTCTTCATTATGTGGTCAGGGGGAAGAGTAAAAACAGGGCTATGGCTATCCTTGTCTTACAGGTTTTCTGCAAATGCGGGTACGACACCAGTGCACTCACAACAATTGTCCATTGTATTCATGGTGTCCACGATGTTCCCACTTTAAGACTCTGGAGTGGGGATCTTGAAACAGCAGGTAGAGGGAAAATGTGGTTCAGCTGTTATCCTTTGACTCAGTCCCTAGAGCAGCCAGACTGTTTCTGTCACCATACAAAAGAGATGGGGCTGATAGCTGAGAGAAATACTATAATCTTGTGTTTTATTTGCTTCATTTATAGCCCACCTTCCTCGCAGATTACAAAATAGAGAGAATTCGGTCTGACAGCACAAAACATCTGATAAACAATGCAATAGGATTAGGATTACAGAATTAGAAAACAAGGCAGAGAACTGTCTAAGGCATGAAATACCACGGGGATTACAAAGGCACAAGGAGTGCAGTAGAAGCAAGATGATATACAGTAAACCAGGGGGTGATTGGCATCCTGTTAAACAGAGCTTCTGCCTGAAATGCTGAGGAGTTACTATTAAGAGATATGCATAACCTTACTCTCTGACATTTTGTGGTTGGTGCCGTTTCCTTCAGCAGCCATTTTGCAGTTGCACCCGCTTCCCTGTGTCAGAACTCCAAAGGTGTCCATGAGCTCAAAAAGGTCAGGGATCCCCTCCATAAATGACAGTTCTTTTCCCTTGAAAAAGGGCCACCCTGGACTGTCCTGTTATACTGCAGTATCGATCCCTTTATAAAAAATACTCTTTATGGACATTTCTGTTTTGCATATTCTGCAGAATGGCGGAATGTCCACAATGTCTGGTTGCTTGGTAGGCTTTCAGAAGCTGCAGGCTGCACGCTAGTGCATTGCTTAGTGCATTGCTCCGCGCCCATCCACAAGCAGTGGTTGCTGTGGGATTAAGGGAGGGGGGAGTGGCCTGGAAGTCACAGTAAAATTTAGAAGATGAATCCGTCTGAGAAGTCTGACAAAGGCCACCTTATTTTGCCCTGTATTGAGGAAAGCGTGAGACATCTGGGTTTTTTCTTATCTGTTTTCTCTACCTAAGGAGAACCCCAGGCTGCTTATCACATTGTTCTCCCCTCCTCTGCTTCCTTAGCTCCACAACAGCAACCCGATGCGGAGTTTAGGCTAAGAGTGGCCCAAGGTCACCCAGCAAGCTTCTGTGGCAGAGCAGGGATTCGAACCTAGTCGTCCCAAGCTTTTAGCCTAACTACTGCACCACGCCGGCTTTGAGTGCTGTGAGTTCTGTCAAGCAGATTTCCTGAAGCAGGCAGCTGCCATGCTGGAGTGTATTTATCCCAGAAGTCATTGTGCTCATCACTGTCTGTTTATTTGCTGTACATGGAAGGCCAAGGACATGAAGGCAATCTTTTAAAGTAATTAGTGGTTGCAACCAGTTTTTTGCTCCTGGCTAAAAGTCTCCCCCTCAGTTATTCTCTGTTCTGTTTTCCCTCTCAAGCATTGTTAGTTTTTGGTGTATGAATAATATCACTGAAGTTTAGTCTGCTTTGCACATGATAAACATTCTACTCTTTGCAAACTGAATTTTTTTCTTCTTCATTGAGCTTTGTTAATACAGTGTTTTATTTATTTTTTCCCCCCGTTTTAGATTTTAACAAGGAAAATTTGGTCAAGTATAAAACTCCAAAGTTACTCCAAAGGAGAAGAACATTCAGGTAAAGCATTTATTTCAAATCTTCTTTGGTCTTCTTGTTAATATGTATTGAGAGCATGGAACAGGCAGCATCCTATTTATATATGACCAAAAAAACAAACAAACCCAGACAACCTCAAGCCAGCTGTCTTTGACACCAAGGCTAATGGTCTTTAATTTATTGCAGTGATAAGCTTCAGTGATCTAGATGCATTTTGGAGGTATTCAGGATAAACCAGCCTTTCCACTTTTGTAAAAACTTTTGTCACACTTTCTGGATCTTGAAGGTAGTACTTGGGCAACTAGTGTGTTTACGGTGAATGTCAGGTTTGGAATACATTATAGGGGCAGCAGGAAATGGTGAGTGTCTTCCAGGAGGGTAGCCACTACAGTTATGATTGTTTATGTAAAACATTTATAGCCTGCTTTTCCCAACAAAAGGACTCAAACAGCTTGCAGTAAAAAAAAATTAAATTATAATCATGTCAGGATCCACAGCAAAACAACGAAGTACACGCTTCCAGGAAGGTTTTACTTTTATTGAAAAGCCATAGATGCATTAACAGGAACACTGTTAGGAATGGCGGACTACCTATGCGCATAATAGGATATAGGGCATTCGTATGCCCCCCCCCCAAAGCAATACCCAATTAGGTGGACTCCTGTGTGCGGGAGATGGCAAGGCTGTCTAACAGGCGTGGAGCTTGGAACGAAGAAGCTCCCACGGAAGGTAGACACCACAACTCCTCCAGTAACTTTACAGATAAGCGTTGCAGCTGTGAAGCAATTAAGCGCATGGGAAGGAATGCAAAGCAATTAAAAAGCCTCTCCACACTCATGGCAGCTTAGCTGACAAATCTATAAAACAAAAGGTCAGAGAAAAGATTGTCAGTCTTACTATCTATTCTGTATAAAAAATTTGTCAATCTTACTACCCATTCTCAAAAGACCTGTTGTGCTAGATCAGAGCAGTGATCCATCTATTCCACCATCTTATTTCACCCAGTAGCCAACTAGATGCCCCTGGAGGGCTTACAATCAGGGCATGGAATGATGAATAGCCATTCATGGCGGACAGGTCCATCTGTGGCTGCTAGCGATGATGACTGTATAGAAGCTCCACATTCAGAGGTGGTAAATTTTGTACAAAGCCTAAAGGACAAAAGAGCGGAAGTTCTTCTAGCATGCGTGCATAGGCTGTTCCATAACGTGTAGGTTTGCCACTATGGAAACCCAAGAGAGCAACAGCAAATCTTACATTCCTGCAAAAGGGAGTGGAGAGGAAACACTGAGGGGACGCTTGGAGTTGCCTTAGAGTTGTTATAAGGAGAGGTGGCCCTTCAGGTATGTGGGTCCCATGATGAAGGGCTTTGAAGATAAGGACCAGCACCTGAAAGAAATGGGGAGCCACTGCAGTGGTTTCAGAATGACAGCAATACATGCAAAATGGCTGAATTCAAAAGAAGAGGATAATTCCCATGCTAAATAAGCTCGGGGGGGATGGGGGGGGACATCTTTGGGCATCGTACTAACTTCTGGGGTTTTTTTTAACACTCTGGGTCCAACAGAAGTCCCAAGTTCTTAACCAAATCTGTCAATGATGACCCTGCACAATACAGCCCCTCCACATGTTGTCTGAACACATGGAGAAGGAGAAGAAGGCACAAGCATGTTAAACATGCCGTCCACTTCTACGTAATCACTGGTTTATGAGCATGACACCTGCATGTGGAGGCAGTGTCCACATGCCATGAAGGTGGAGAAAAGGAGAAAATAATCTTTGTGTATCTCAGCTCACAGCACACACTGATGTATTTCATTAACGGTGCCACCTGAAGCAGAGTGGCACCCCTCAAAGTCCACTGAAGTCTTTGCACTGTAGGTAAGTTCTCCAATGATACCCTTTCTGTCTTAAACCAGTGCCTGAATACAATGGTCAAGTGGGTGGAGTATAACAAGCTGAAAGTTAATCCAGACACAATGCTTTTTGGTATAGCTAATGCTCTAGAGGGGTCGCTCTGCCTTTCTTTGAGGGAGTTAACACTTGTTATTTTGGGGGTGCTTTTGGCTTTGTGCCCTATGCAGTTCCTGGCAGCATGAGCTGGCCCTAAGAACGGCTAAGTATTTAATGCACAGTCTTCACTCATTTAACATCAACTTTATTCAACTCTTCAGCATTCAAAGGTTCAGTTTACTTACATTCCCTTTTTCAATAGCTGCCCTGAGTCCTTGAGTGATTAATGTGGTAAAAGGAGCTGAGTTTCTCCCTTCTTGTTAGCTCTGAGATTACACACATACTGGGAGGAGGAGGGTAATAAACAACTTTTCCCGGGCAAATGTATCAAAGGAAAAAGGCTGTATAGAACCAATCAGGAAGGCTACTTCTAACCAGCTGACTTCAAGGTCACTAGAATTACATTTCCCAGAATTCTTATAAATTTAAAGCTACAGTACAACTTGCTATGCTTTACTGTTCTAATCTCTGCTGGGGCAGCACAATCCTGGTAACATGTATGCAGATTTAAGACAGCTCCCTTCTTTTTATTGAGAGCATTTGGGGGGGGGGGGGATCCTAGTCTTCCTTTGAGTGAGATATTTAATAAAATAGAAAAGGTAAAGGAAGACATGGAAATTTTTTTTGTTTTGATTGTCCACTATGCTCATTTTAATTACCTTTCCAGCATAACGTCAGTAAATATAGCTTACAATAAGTTACAGTGACAGAATACCTTGGGGTTGGAAAAGGCATTGAGGTTAATAGGACAGCTATAGAAAGGCTGCATGTTACAGTAGTAGAGAAAAGTCTTTCTTTCCCTTTTCATCTTAAAGCAATTCATCTTTGTCCCAGACTACCAGCCATGTAACAGGAGCTGTGCCAGATAGCTTAGCAATCCATTTAAAGTTGGTTTTCAAAAGGCAAGCTTTGGAAATATTGGCCCCTTGACCATGGTTTTTTGATGTCTTGCAAATGCCAGCGTACTGTGGAAATATTAGCAATATATTTCTCTAAAGTAAAAAGTAGTGATTCGTAACTTGTTTTACACTTAAGATTGTTTTCATGAACTGCAATCAGAAGATATCTTCCAGCTGAGGAAGCTGGAAGTGATTTTTGTCTGACTGCTGTGAAGTTGTCTAGATCTAATGGATTTTTATGGGAGAAAAGTAGGAAAAATTTTGTCATCACCTCTTTAACTCATGCCAGAAAGAGGAAAAAATGCAAGAGAGATGAAGGATACAGAACTTTCAGGCCTGCTATAATTTATTAAGCTAGAAAACCAGGCATTATTAGAAATCTGCCTGCATAACAGCTACTAAAACTGTGAACATTCAAGAAGCTCTTGTCCTACTTGATCTTGAAAAACGAGGAACCCATTAATGACTGTTAAATTGGGGTCATTATTAATGCTCCTGAGGGATGGTTTTGGGTTTATTAATATGACTACTAATTTAAGAAATTCTTTCTGTCAGTGTGCTAAAGAATTAAAACTGCAAGATGTGCATAAAACATGCTTGGAAAAACTGACAGATGTAGAACAAAGAGGGCTTTGCTAGATAAAATATGGATTGGATCCAGCAGTAGATTTCCACTAATAGAAGTGGGGCACTTGTGTCAATTTCTCCCTTTGACTACAGACCCCTTAGGTTCACCTTGTCAACCAAAGCCCCTGTCTGGAGCTTTGTCGCCATGGAGAGGTGGGGTTATGCGAACTGGAATGTATGGTTGTGTTTCTGACCGTTACCTGTCTGGTGTGTGGTATAGCCACGTAACCTTGAGACCTGAACTGCCATTAGTATCCCTTTTCCCCTGGGAACCTTAGAGCGTTAGCTTGGCGGGCTTTTAGCTTAGAGGTGATTGGCCAAGAGCCACTGATGTATATTTATGCTATAATTGCTGGCTTCCTTCCTGCGCTGGACCTCAGTCTTAACAAAGTACGTTATGAATCTGGATCCTATCAATGTCTCAATAAACTTTACTTACTCTGAATTATTGTTATTGGGAACTGATTTCTCTGATACCCTTGTCCCCCAGCTTCCAGGGGTGCATTGGGTACAGAGGTGAGAAGACAGTCATTATTGGCTGATGGAAATTCCTTCTACCAGTGCTGGATCCATGCCCATAACCGTAAATGCCACACTGATAACATCAGTGTTTCTAAACACATTGTGTTGTAGCTGGAACACATGCTTTACTGTGAGATGAAATGAGTGTATGCTAACCTTTTAGATAGTAGTACTGTTCAAATTATATAATACTGTATACCTTTAAGGTGCAGAAATTTGATCTAAAGAGTTCTCCCATTATGGAGTGTGGACATAGCTATATGTTAAGTATATAATTCCCTAATTAGGACCATGTGCAGAACTTTTTCAAACCTAATTTGAATTAATTAAAACATGTTAATCAGCACAGACCTACTTACAAAGAAACAGCTCCCAGTACTTTGCATTATAATGGGTCAGTGACTTGTGTGCTTGGTACTGCAATGGGCACATTATCGTTGGGGCGCATTATCAAGATTAGTTAATGTGGAATTTCTGTCAATGAGTCACATTTATCCCACCCTCCCACCAAGGAGTTCAAGGCAGCGTACGCAGTCTTTCCTTCCATTTTCTCTTACAGTACCTGTGTGAGGGAACCAAGCCTGAAAGAGAGTGAATAGGCCAAGTTTATTCAGTGGGATTCATGGCAGACTATGAAATGAACCCTGGTCCCCAGTCCTACTCTAACTACTACATCACACTGAAAATAGCATGACATGGCCAAAACGTAAGGCTGAAGATGGACATACCTTCAAAGATCAATCCCCTCCCCCAGTTTTGGAGTGAACATATTAATCTGTTCTGGCATTTGTTGAGTGTTTTTTCTTAAGTTGCTGAGTATTTTCTTAAATTGTTTTTTTAATTTAATTTTAGCATAGTTTCTGATTGGGGAAGACAGACATTTTCCTGACTGAGACAAGAGTCAACCAATCAGTGATGCGTACCACGGGATCTGAAAGGCTGTTATGGTAGCTTGATGGT